TAGTCAATGTATTTCTTATTAATTCTTGCTTCAGTAATAAATTCGGAAAAGGAAAAATTTCCTGAATTAGAGTTCCAAATGCTCCTATATATGGCGGAAAAAGAGGAGATAATACCTGCTTATTTTCTTCTACAATCTCATCAAAAAATGATAATGGAGCAAAATGAATTCTGGAAATAGACTCAATATCCCCCTTAACAGCCATTTTCTTCTGTATTCCGGCGAGAAGAAAACAAGAGTTTTCAGACTTGATAATTCCGCCACCAGACTGTCCGACAATTTCTGAGTGTGTGACCGCTTTCTCTATTTCAGCCTCAATGTAATACTGAACAGGATTTTCAATTGTAAGTTTATTTTTTCTATACGAGAAATTTCCATTTGTACGAGTTTCGGGATGTCCGCATAAATACCAATTTTCTTTTTCTCTTAAATCTACACCAGCTCTTAAAAGACCGTCAATATTATCTACTTTTTTAATTTTTATAATAGCTGCATCTTTATTTGGGTCAGTATGTAAAAATGGATTTCCAATAATTTCTAAATTTTCGTCTTTTACTTGTCCATTTTCATTGATGTATTGCCTTACAATTTCAAGATTATCAAGACCATCAACAACATGTTTAGCTGTCAAGACATAACTATATTCGGTGTCGATTGGCTGAAACAGGCAACCACTTCCATCGGCTACTTTTACCGTAAAAAACTGTAAACTATCTCTCATGGTTATAGTGACTCTGTGCTTAAATATTCAACATTTGGAAAATCAATTTTATCCTGCTCCAAAATTATTTTTGAAATAAGATTGGGATAATTAAAATATATTTTAGCTTCAGGATTTGTGGCTACGATTCTCGCAATGGTAGCTTTATCTGGGTGGTTGTGCATATCTCCATTTGTGCTTATTACATATTTCTCGGTATCAACTATTTTGAAGATTTCAATTGGATTGTTTTTTTTACTCCCGTGATGTGATAGTTTTATCAAATCTACAGATAGCTTATTGTTTTCATCATATCCTAAACTATCCAGTTCAGTCAAAACTTCCGATGGATGAGAATCTCCTAAAAACAAGTAATTTTTCTCAATGCTTTTTA